TTGAAATTTTTTTCTATCAAATTTGGTCCTCGTTCTTTTGATTGTTATTTATTTTATTTGAAATACTTTATGAAATGTTAATTATTATTATTTTAATTTCTTCATCTTTTTTTTTTAGATTTGTTCTTTATTATTTTGTTTATTATTTATTTTATTTGAGATAATTTATGAAATTTTTTTGTTCAATTTCATTATTATTCGACTTTTTAATTTGTAAGATTTACTCTTTATTATTTTAATAAACTTGAGAAAAATAAAATATTAATAAATTATTTTTCAGTTTATTTTCCATAACATAACCAAATACTGGAAAGTGTTTTCCAGTTCATTTTCCATAACACTACCAAACATCAGAAAATACTTTACTTTTCAGGAATTCACTTTCCCTGGGATTCACTTTCCAAAAAGAAACAACTTTCCTGCAAACAAACGGGGCCATAAAGTGCTTTTTAAAAGTAATTGGGAATTTAAAACTTGAAGCATGCGTTTAATAAAATTAATGCATTAATAAGTATATGCTAACATTATTATAATATTTTTTTAACTAAATACTTAGCCAGAAATCTAAGAGATAAATATAAATTAAGACTATTAATTTTGTTATGTAGGGAATCATTAATAGATCAAGACTACTGATTCCATCTTCCAGGAATCATCAATTTTATATGATGATATTTTTAATATATAAAAACAATAATAATTTAAATTTTATTGAAACAAAATAATTTATTTTATATGATGATATTTTTTTTATATAAAAAGAGTAATAATTTAGATTTTATTAAAACAAAATAAAATAAAAATAAAAAACAATGACCAAAAACATAAAAAAATCCTAGACACTTTAAAATATGTGTAAAAGGATATTTTTCTAATTATATTTTTATCTTATTAAATTGTGTGGGTTAACCTCAAGCCCCTCGATCTGATTTCTTGCTTAATCTATATTTCAAATTAAATTTTATGAGGGTGAGGCTAATATAATTCGGTTAATTTAGTAAGTCCAACTATTACCTGGTCAAAACCAAGTTTGATTATAAAATTATAAAGGTCATCATTTTAATTTTTTTTACTAATATTAGCACGAAAACATTTTAAATAAACTTGGGTCTTTAGCTATACCCAACTAACTCGATAGATAGAGTCAAAACCTAGTTTGACTTCAAAAAATTAAAACATTGAAAATCCAAGATTTTTTTTATAAATAAATTTTGTGATGATAATATTTTCGATAAATTCAAATTAACTCACCTAACTCGTTATCTTAATCACCGCTCTTACCGAATTTAATAAACTTGTCTTTTTAAATTTATGTTTTTATTTAATCCATTAACAATCTAAAAACACGAGGGAGAGGCTTAATTAAAATTTAAATAGAAAATATGAATGCAAAATATAAATACATGAAAAGAATGAGGGTTTGAATTGAAGTTTTTTTTAAGAAGCAAAAATAAATAAAAAAGAGAGCCCTAAGTGCTAATAAGTCTAGCTTAACAAGCTTTTACGAGTGGCAAAATAATTAAAAGTTCAAGCATGTTTGGGTCTGAAAGCCAAGCATGTAAATTGGTTCTCTTCTTTTTCTTCTTTTGAATGTGTAGGAGGAGTAGATGATATGTTGTTCGAAAATATAATTTTTAACTATTGGTGTTGGGAAAATTAGAGTCTAACTCATTGGAACCCAAAACCTATCATTCAACCAAATCCTCATGCAAAAATTATTCATAGAGTATCATTAGGCACAAAAGCGAAAGAAAGGATTATCAAGTTAAGGATCTCTTTCATAGCGTAATATGATAACAAAGGACTTAAAATCTATATAGCAGATCTCAAGTTTAAGTCAGATATATATTCCTTGTAAAAACTTGAGATAGTTAGAATTTTACTTACTTATCTAAATCCACAAAATATATTTTTCAGAAAATAGAATTTTCTTGAATTCAAAAAAAATATTAAGGAACTCGTTTAAAATATCACAAATAAAATTTAATTACCATAAGTAAGTAATTTGAATTTAATTTATCATAGTAACATTGATAATGATAATTACTATTTAAAATTACTGTTTTACCCCAACTCCTCATCTAATCTCATTTCAAATGAAAGAAAGATGAAGGAAACGAGGGCAATAAAAAAGTTAGAATTTTATTAATAATTTTGAATTTAATTATAAACAAGCATGTAAATTCAACTAATTTGTATCTATTTTTGCTTTATCATAGTAACATTTTTTTAAAATATTTTTTACTTTAAAATATACCAAAATAATATATATTTTAAATTTATTTTTAATATGATTTAAAAAATAAAAAAAATTAAAATTTAAAAGTATTTTAAAAATATAAAAATAAACATGCTCATTATGATTGAATTGAATTTTTGATGCGGAATTGTTCACAAATATGTTTCCTTCCCAAAACTGCACCAGCTGTTCTGCCGAGCGCACAAGGATTTACTTGCCTTTTACCGCCTTCGGTCCCACCTCTAATCCTCTCATGACACATGTCAAAATATCATTAGCTAGAGAAATGAGATTACCCAATCAATGCTTGCCACATGCACAATCCTCCCCTCCACCCAAAAAATGTTTGACTTGACAAAACCAAAAGCTACAAGAGGGATTCCCAATATAAAAAACAATATAGAAAACCCAACCCAAAGCAGGGTCTCTCCACTCGTTGCTGTAACTTCTATTTATTATTGCAGAGAAGAGGGAGAAACAGAAGCCACCACAAGCAACTCCAAAACGATGTCGTCTGGAAGAAAGATATCCTTAAGGAGCAGCGACGGCGAGTCGTTCGAAGTCGACGAAGCCGTAGCTTTGGAGTCACAGACTATTAAGCACATGATAGAAGACGATTGCGCCGACAACGGAATTCCGTTGCCGAACGTAACAAGCAAGATCTTAGCGAAAGTTATCGAGTACTGCAAGAAACACGTTGAGACTCCGAAATCCGAGGATCGAGGAACTAACAGCGGTGGTGATGAGCTTAAAAATTGGGATGCTGAGTTTGTTAGAGTTGACCAGGTTACACTTTTTGATCTTATTTTGGTAAGTCTTTTTTTTGCCAGATCCGTTATTACTTTTTTGTCAGATCTGTTATTACTTTTTGTGAGATGCTGAGTTTTTTAAATTGATATTAATTAGGGATTTTAATTGTTGATTAACTCTGAATCCTGCAGCGATTAAGGTTAGTTATTCTTATGTATTTTAGGTGCTTTAATTATTATCATTTTTCTTTTAAGAAAACTTAATTAGGTTGTATTAGAAGTTATGTGAAGCAATCTTTTTTAACTGAAAAAATTAGATTAACTAGGGATTAATTAGGTTTTTTAATGGTTGATTTTTATTAATTAGGGTTAGTTATTGTTGATTGTCGATCTATTTTAGGTGTTTTAATTTTTTTATCCTAAATTATACTCCTAGGCAGTATAAGTAGGATTGTTATTAAAAGTCTTTAAGTTATATGTAAATAAAAAATACATTGACTTTGAGACCAGGGATGGCAAGTCGGGTTTTGGTACTATCCATACCCAAAACTGAATCCATAACTAGTACCCATATCAGACTTATTGCTCGCCAGTTTGGATTTTGGATACCCGAAGACTTGATTGGGTTTTGGGTTTCCATTCAGGTACCCATTACATGAACACATCTATAATGCTTAAAATTTTCCCTGGTTTTCAACCCAAAAAGAGTTTAAAAAGCATGTGAAATGATGCAAATTCACGTTCTGTTTTGTAAGAACTCTATACATAGATCTTATTTCTGGAAATCAACTGAGACCCCCAACATCATATCCAAAAAAACCATATCCTGAAGAGATGGTCATCACTGAATAAAAGATGAATTCTTTACTGAAAACAGCCAAGTGAAATATAATTGGCCTCCAAGGAAATTTGGAAAAACAGAAATAATCAACGGCCACCGATATTACAACCCAACAAGCATTCCAACTAATACATATTTGATTGATACAGAGATTAACAACTGACAGTAGTAAGGTACAACGTTGTGGGGAAATCATCCTACTCCCATTCACTCATCAAAGAACCAGGAGGTTCAAGTCGCATCATTAATCATCCTACTCTCCCATTCACTCAATAAAGGACCAGAAGGTTCTAGTCGCATCATCACATCACCACCAAAGAATTCAATGAATGTTCATAAATCTGCAAATCGAAATATATGGTTCAGAGAATTAGACAATAGGCAAATGTCCCACCTTGGCATCTTCACCCCCACCAGTTCTTGTAGAGGTTTCCATCATCTGGTCTTTTGTCAAAATAAAATTCGGATAAGTCAACTGTCCACATAAAACCTATAGTATACAAACATCTGTAAT